GTGAGGTCTGTTACCATTCCACAAATATATAAAACTCACTTGCCTAGTTTCCAACAGACCTCATAACCTCTGAGGATGCCTGCCATAGATGTGGGTGAAACGTCAGTAGAGAATGCTTCTGGAATATGGCTATACAGCCTGCCTTCAACAACACAGTATGCATCACATCAGTCTCCAAATCATCAAAAAAAACCACCCTGTTCTTTCTTCGCCAAAATCTAGTATTTACTGGAAATGATTTGTCTCTAAAACAGCAGAGAAGTTTCTGCAAACAGTGTCTTTTTAGCATCAGGTGAAGATTTCCAACAGGAAATCCTGAAAACCGGGCTGAAGCAAAGGCGATGCCGAAGTACAACGTTCAAAAAGGCTGGTTTAATAGATGACTAAGTGTCAGGAGCCGGGTTTCTGAGAATTACTTTTCAGATAAACAACTTTACGGTGCTGCAGTTAATCTTAACTTTCAAGGGACGGTTCATTTATGACCGCATTACGAGTAATTCTAATTCGATCGACGTTGCCGTAAAGGCCGTCGAAAATCACGTCTGGCAGGTCTAAAGGTGTATTTGACACAGAGAGGTTCCTTAAGGCAGACACATAGGCTCTCAATCAGGCATCGGCACACTTGGGCCCTCCCTCGAGGTGTTTTGGACTTCAACTCCCACCATTCCTAACAGCCTCGGGCCTTTTCCTTTTCCGCCTCAGCCGTTTAAGCAGGAGAAAGGACGAAAACAAAGAAAGAAGGAAGAAAAGAAAAAGAGAAAGGAAGAAAAAAGGAAGAAAGAAAAGAAAGAAAGATATAAAAAAGGAAGAAGGAAGGAAGGAAGGAAGGAAGGAAGGAAGGAAGGAAGGAAAGGGGGAAGGAAGGAGGGCACAAAGAAGGAAAGAAGGAAATAAAGAAGGAAGAAAGGAAAGAAAGAAGGAAGGAGGGAAGGAAAACTGGAAGGAAGGAAGGAAGAACGAAAGATGCAAGCAAGGAAGGAAGGAGAAGGAAAAGGAAGGAAGGAAAGAGAAGGAAAGAAGGAAGGAAGGAAGGAAGGAAGGAAGGAAGGAAGGAAGGAAGGAAGGAAGGAAGGAGAAGAAAAGAAGGAAGGAGGGAAGGAAGGAAGGAAAGAAAATGAAAGAAGGAAGGAAGGAAAGAAGTAAGGAAGGAAAAAAAGAAGGAAGGATGAAAAGAAGGAAGGAAATAAAGAAGGAAGGCAGGAAAGAAGAAAGGAAGTAAGGCAGGAGGAAAACAAGGAAGGAAGGAGGGAAAGAAGACAGATAGGAAGGAAGGCAGGAAGGAAGGAAGAAAAGAAGATGGGAAGGAAGGAAGGAAGGAAGGAAGGAAGGAAGGAAGGAAGGAAGGAAGGAGGAAGGAAGGAAGTAAAGAAAGAAAGAAAGAAAGAAAAAGAAAGAAAAGGAAGAAGGAAAGAAAGAGGAAGGAAGGAAAAAAAGAAGGAAGAAAGGGAAAGAAGACAGGAAGGAAGGTAGGAAGGAAAGAGAAGGAAGGAAATAAAGAAGGCAGGAAAGAAGGAAGGAAGGAAGGCAGGCAGGAAGAAAACAAGGAAGGAAGGAGAGAAAGAAGACAGAAAGGAAGGAAGAGAAGAAGGAAGGAAAGAAAAAAGCGGGAAGGAAGGAAGGAAGGAAGAAACGAAAGGGCCTGAGGCTATTAGGAATGGTGGGAGTGGAAGTCCAAAATATCTAGAGGAAGGGCAAAACCTTTCCCATGCCTGATGTAGGACTATGTGATGTATTATTCTCATATCAATCTGGAAATAGCTCTCCTAATACCTGGAAGCGCTGCAATCTGAAACCGACCTGTAGGTGGCGCTGTGGAGGTTTCAACCGGATTTTTGCAACTCTCTTCTCCTTGTTTCCAGTGTAATTTTTTTTAAATGACCAGCATTTCTCTCAAGAGAGAGAGGGGGGGAGGAGGGGGGGAGAAATGACCACACGTGACTGGTGCTTTCCTTTCCCCCCACTTTTCAATCCAGCGGATCCCTGCCAGGATTGAATGGAGTGCAGTGCAGTGCATGCATGTCATGGTCCCTCTCAAAGCCTTTTGTGCTGAGCCTGACTTGAAAGCTCACTTTGGGAGAGAAAGTCTTTGCAAAACCGTAAATGTATGTTTGAGACAACAAGGAATCTGCTGGATCTCCACCGTGATCTCCTTCCAGATCTCTCCTTTCACACCAACAGGGCAAGAAGTGGGGTCAGGCTCAAGAGGAATAAGCCAGCAGGAGTTCCCCAATCAACGGGAGCCCAAGAAACAATCAGAGCCAGCTAGTCACCTTCCAACCAAGGATTTCCCCAGACAGGAAACAGCCAGACCTTGAAACTGCAAGACCATCACATGCTAATTAAAGTGGCCAAGAAGTTCCTCAGTCAATGCAAACCAAATAAACAATCAGGGCCAGCTAATCACCTCCCAACAAAGGATTCCCCCAGGCAGGGAGTAGCCAGACCTTGAAACTGCAAGGCTTTTACATGCTAATCAAAGTGGCCAAGGAGTTCCCCAGTCAATGCAAGCCCAAGAAACAATCAGGGCCAGTGATCACCTCCCAACAAAGGATTCCCCCAGGCCGGAAGCCGCCAGACCTTGAAACTGCAAGGCCGTTACACGCTAATCAAGGTGGCCAAGGAGTTCCCCTGGAGCCCCCAGTGGCACAGTGGGTTAAAGCACTTGAGCTTCCGCTGTCAGCCCTAGCTTCTGCCAACCTAGCAGTTCGAAAACATGCAAATGTGAGTAGATGAATAGGTACCGTTCCGGCGGGAAGGTAACGGCGCTCCATGCAGTCATGCTGGCCACATGACCTTGGAGGTGTCTACGGACAACGCCGGCTCTTCGGCTTAGAAATGGAGATGAGCACCACACCCCAGAGTCAGACATGACTGGACTTAATGTCAGGGGACTACCTTTACCTAAGGAGTTCCCCAGTCAATGCAAGCCCAATAAACAATCAGGGTGTGTTGATCACCTCCCAACAATCAGGGCCAGCTAATCTGCTTTGGGGAATCCCAACAAAGGATTTCCCCCAGGCAGGAAGCAGCCAAGCCTTGAAGTTGCAAGGCTATTCATTTCTAACAGTCACACCTACCTCCAACAGACAAGAGTTCTTTCTCCCACCCTGGATAATTATTCCACAAGTTCAGAGCCAGCTAGTCACCTTCCAACAAAGGATCAGAGCCAGCTAGTCACCTTCCAACAAAGGTTTTCCCCAGGCAGGAAGCAGCCAAGCCTTGAAGTTGCAAGGCTATTCATTTCTAACATTCACACCTACCTCCAACAGACAAGATAATTATTCCTCAATTTTCCAGTTTCCAACAGCCCTCACAACCTTTGAGGATGCCTGCCACAGATGGGGGTGAAACGTCAGGAGAGAATGCATCTGGAATGTGGCCAGACAGCCGGGAAAACTCACAGCAACCAAGCCCCAAATCGACTTAGCATCCTTACCTCTCTCTCTGCAATCCAGCCACGTGGATACTTCCATGGCTTTTGCCCTATCCATCCATTTCCTTCTTAGAATCATAGAATCAAAGAGTTGGAAGAGACCTCATGGGCCATCCAGTCCAACCCCCTGCCAAGAAGCAGGAATATTGCATTCAAATCACCCCTGACAGATGGCCATCCAGCCTCTGTTTAAAAGCTTCCAAGAAGGAGCCTCCACCACACTCCGGGGCAGAGAGTTCCACTGCTGAACAGCTCTCACAGTCAGGAAGTTCTTCCTCATGTTCAGATGGAATCTCCTTTCTTGTAGTTTGAAGCCATTGTTCCGTGTCCTAGTCTCCAGGGAAGCAGAAAACAAGCTTGCTCCCTCATCCCTGTGGCTTCCTCTCACATATTTATACATGGCTATCATATCCCTCTCAGCCTTCTCTTCTTCAGGCTAAACATGCCCAGCTCCTTAAGCCGCTCCTCATAGGGCTTGTTCTCCAGACCTTTATCATTTTAGTCGCTCTCCTCTGGACACAGTCCAGCTTGTCAATATCTCTCTTGAATTGTGGTGCCCAGAATTGGACACAATATTCCAGGTGTGGTCTAACCAAAGCAGAATAGAGGGTAGCATGACTTCCCTAGATCTAGACACTATGCTCCTATTGATGCAGGCCAAAATCCCATTGGCTTTTTTTGCCGCCACATCACATTGTTGGCTCATGTTTAACTTGTTGTCCACGAGGACTCCAAGATCCTTTTCACACTTACTGCTCTGGAGCCAGGCGTCACCCATTCTGTATCTTTGCATTTCATTTTTTCTGCCAAAGTGGAGTATCTTGCATTTGTCACTGTTGAACTTCATTTTGTTACTTTTGGCCCATCTCTCTAATCTTGCTAATCAAGGTGGCCAAGGAGTTCCCCAGTCAATGCAAGCCCAAGTAACAATCAGGGTGTGTTGATCACCTCCCAACAATCAGGGCCAGCTAATCTGCTCGGGGGAATCCCAACAAAGGATTTCTCCCAGGCAGGAAGCAGCCAAGCCTTGAAGTTGCAAGGCTATTCATTTCTACCTCCAACAGACAAGAGTTCTTTCTCCCACCCTGGATAATTACTCCACAAGTTTCCAAAAGCCCTCACAACCTCTGAGGATGCCTGCCACAGATGGGGGCGAAACGTCAGGAGAGAATGCTTCTAGAACGTGGCCAGACAGCCCGGAAAACTCACAGCATCCTTACCTTTCTCTCTCTGCAGTCCAGCCAGGCGGATACTTCCCTGGCTTTTGCCCCATCCATCCATCCATCTCCTCCTTCTCTCCTCATTTCTCATTCTCTGGCGGGCAGGAAAGGGTTAAGCCCGCCTCCGGGGTCCCAGCTGACAGTCAGCTGATGGGGGCCTCCCCCCCTTTATTTATTTATTTATCAGGTTGATTGACAAGCTGGGAAGATAGTTTCCTCCTCGCGCTCCGAGATGCAAATGAGGGGGCCGGCTCCTCGGCTTCTGATTGGCCCCGGCGCGCCATCCTCGGACCCGGCCGACGTCAGGCGCGCTATAAAACTCCGCCAAGGGCTTTGAAGCACTCTCCCTCCCGGACGAGGGCTGGGGAAAACAATAACAAAACAAAACCCAGAGAGATAGATACAGGGGGAAAAAACACAGAGACACACACAGAGAGGGATTAAAAACTTGGGAGTTGAAGTTCGCCTGGTCCCAGAGCACAATTCCCTTGCAATTTCCGGAGCAGAAATGAAGGAGCCGGGCTTGAGGAGGAGGGGGGGGGATGAAGAGCTGCGAGGAGAGTGCTGCTGATGCCCGGAGAGAGAATGAAGGCAAAGGCGTGGAGAAGTTGAGCAGGGGAAGAAGAAGAGAGCCGTGTTGTTGCTTCTTCTCTCTTCTCAGAGCCCTGAGGAGGAGACAAAAAGAGCTGAAGGGCTGAGAAGTGGAGCAAGGGAAGAAGAAAGCCGTGCTGTTGCTTCTTCTCTCTTCTCAGAGGTGCCGATTGCTGAAGAAGGCAAAGAGGTGGAGCTGAGGAGGAGGGGAAGAAGAAGAAAGCCGTGTTGCTGCTCCTTTTCTCTCCTCAAAGCCTTGGAAAAGGAGATAAGAAGAGCTGAAGGGAGATTGGTGCCGATTGCTGACGAGAGAGAGAAGAGCAAAGGCGAGGAGAAGTTGAGGAGGGGAAGAAGAAGAAAGCGGTGGTGTTGCTTCTTTCCTCAGAGACTTGAGGAGGAGACAAGCGAATTGAAAGGCTGAGGAGTTGAGGAGGGGAAGAAGGAGAAGAAAGCGGTGGTGTTGCTTCTTTCCTCTCTTTCCTCAGAGCCTTGACGAGGAGACAAGAGAACTGAAAGACTGAGGAGTTGAGGAGGGGAAGAAGAAGAAATCGGCGGTGTTGTTTCTTTCCTCAGAGCCTTGACGAGGAGACAAGAGAACTGAAAGTCTGAGGAGTTGAGGAGGGGAAGAAGAAAGTGCTGCTGCTTCTTTTCTCTCTCTCCACAGAGCATTGTGTGAGACAGTGGTGCCGATTGCTGAAGAGAGACAGAACAGCAAAGGCGTGGAGAAGAAGTTGAGGAGGGGAAGAAGAAGAAGAAAGCGGTGGTGTTACTTCTTTTCCCTCTTTCCCCTCAGAGCCTTGAGAGAGAGGTGCTGCTGATTGCTGCAGAGAGAAAGAAGGGCAAAGGCTTGGAGAAGTTGAGGAGAGGACGAAGAAAGCCGTGTTGTTGCTTCTTTTCTCTCCCCAGAGCCTTGAAGAGGAGACAAGAAGAGCTGAAGGGCTGAGAAGTTGAGGAAAGGAAGAAGAAAGCCCTGTTGTTGCTTCTTCTCTCTCCCCAGAGCCTCGAGGAGGAGGCAAGAGGACCTGAAGAGAGATTGGTGCCGATTGCCCAAGAGAGAAAGAAGGGCAAAGCTTTGGAGAAGTTCAGGAGAGGAAGAAGAAAGTGTTGTGCTGATTCTTTTCCTTCTCCCTCTTCAGAGCCTTGAGAGAGAGGTGCTGCTGACTGCTGAAGAGAGAAAGAAGGGCAGAAAGGCGTTGAGAAGTTGAGGAGGGGAGAAGAAAGCCCTGTTGTTGCTTCTTTTCTCTCTCCAGAGCCTTGAGGAGGAGGCAAGAAGAGCTGAAGAGAGATCGGAGCCCATTGCTGAAGAGAAAAAGAAGGGCAAAGGCTTGGAGAAGTTCAGGAGAGGAAGAAGAAAGTGTTGCTGCTGATTCTTTTCCTTCTCCCTCTTCAGAGCCTTGAGAGAGAGGTGCTGCTGATTGCCAAAGAGAGAAAGAAGGGCAAAGCCGTGGAGAAGAAGAAGAAAGTGGTGGTGCTGCTTCTTTTCCCTCCTCAGAGCATTGTGAGAGACAGTGGTGCTGATTGAAGGAAGAAAGGAGGCAAAGGCGTGGAGAAGAAGTTGAGGAGGGGGAGAAGAAGAAGAAAGCAGTGGTGTGACTTCTTTCCCCTCTGAGCCTTGAGAGAGAGAGGTGGTGCTGACTGCTGAAGAGAGAGAGAAAGGAGGCAAAGGCGTGGAGAAGAAGTTCAGGAGGGGAAGAAGAAGAAAGCGGTGTTGTTTCTCTCTCTCTCTCTCTCTTTCTCTCTCTCTCCTCAGAGCAGGAAGGGGAGGGAGGAGGGAGAGGAGAAAAGGGAGAAGCCAATGCAGAAGGCGGCGGAGTAGAGCCAGAGGAGGAGGAGAAGCAGGAGGAGAAGCAGGAGGAGGAGGAGGAGGGCGGCTGAAGGCGGCTGGGTCTCTCTCTCTCTCTCTCTCCCTCCCTTCCTGGACAAGAGCCTTGGCTCGTTCTCTGCCACCGCCAAGCTGGCGAGCCAAGGCGGCCTCCCGCTGTCCGCGCCTCCCTCGGCCTCCTCGCTGCCCTTCTGGAGGACGGTGGCGGCGAAGCGGATGCCTTCCTCGGAGCTCTCGCTGGGCAACAACGCCGGGGGTGGCGGCGGCGGAGGGAGCTCGGACTTGCCCACCAGCCCCTTGGCCATGGAGTACGTCAACGACTTCGACCTCATGAAGTTCGAGGTGAAGAAGGAGCCGCTGGAGAGCGAGCGGCTCATCAGCCAGTGCGGGAGGCTCATCGCCGGCGGGTCGCTCTCCTCCACGCCGATGAGCACGCCGTGCAGCTCGGTGCCGCCTTCGCCCAGCTTCTCCGCGCCCAGCCCGGGCTCTTCCGGAGGAGGAGGAGGAGGAGGAGGGCAGAGCGGAGGGACCGGCAGCCACGGAGGGCCCGGCCACGACCAGAAGGGCCCCCTGGAAGACTACTACTGGATGAGCGGCTACCCGACGCAGCTCAACCCGGAGGCGCTGGCGTTCAGTCCCGAGGACGCGGTGGAAGCCCTCATCAGCAGCAGCCACCACCAGCTCCAAAGCGTGGCTCGCAACGCCGCCGCCTTCGATGGCTACCCGAGAGGGCAACAGCTGGGGGGCAACCCGGACGAGATGGGCTCCGCTGCGGCGGTTGTGTCCGCTGTCATCGCAGCCGCGGCGGCTCAGCAGCAGCAGAACGGAGCGCAGCACTACCACCACCACCACCACCACCACCCGCACCACCACTCTTCCGCGGCGAGTAGCAACCCTCCTCCTCCTCCTCCGCACCCGAATTCCGCACCTCCTCCTCCTCCTCCGGTGTCGTCGTCGCACTCCTCGTCCCCTTTCGACGACCGCTTCTCCGACGACCAGCTGGTCACCATGTCGGTGCGGGAGCTGAACCGGCAGCTCCGCGGCGTGAGCAAGGAGGAGGTGATCCGGCTCAAGCAGAAGCGCCGCACGCTCAAGAACCGCGGCTACGCCCAGTCCTGCCGCTTCAAGCGGGTCCAGCAGCGCCACGTGCTCGAGTCCGAGAAGACCCAGCTCCTCTCGCAGGTCGAGCACCTCAAGCAGGAGATCTCCAGGCTGGTCCGGGAGAGGGACGCCTACAAGGAGAAGTACGAGAAGCTCGTCAGCAGCGGGTTCCGAGAAAGCAACGCCGGCGGAGGAGGAGTCGTAGTGGGCGCCGGGAACGGAGGCAGCGGCAACGGCAACGCCGGCGGAGGCGGCCACGACAACAGCGGGAGCCGAGCCAGCCCCTCCTCGCCCGAGTTTTTCATGTGAGTCGAGAGAAAACAAACCCAAACAGAGAGGAGGAGGAGGAGGAGGAGGAGGACGGGGGGGGGGGCTGCATCTCAACACCCCCCATCCACCCACCCCCCATTTATCCCCTCGCAGGCGAACAGACACAAACCAACCTTCCCTTTACGCACCTCTTGGCCAAAGTTTTCCCCTTCTTTGGAGCAAACATTAGCAGCATGGAGCCACATTCATATTCCTCCATCTATCTATCTTCTCTCTCTCTCTCTTTCTACTTTATTTATACTGTGTGAGTCGAGAGAAATACACAAAAGAGAGAGGAGGGGGGTCTAAAGAGAGAGGGGAGGGGATCTGCACCCTCTATCTATCTTCTCTCTCGCTTTCTACTTTATTTATACTATATGAGTTGGGAGAAATAAATAAGAGAGAGAGGGGGGGGTCTGCCTATTTATCCCCTTGCAGGCGAACCAACACAAACAAACCTTCCTTTTCCCCCTTTAAGCACCTCTTGGCCAAAGTTTTCCCCTTCTTTGGAGCATTAGCAGCATGGACCCAAATTCCTATTCCTCTATCTATCTATCTATCTATCTATCTATCTATCTATCTATCTTCTCTCTCTCTCAAAAGACAGTTTTCCCCCTCTTTGGAGCAAACATTAGCAGCATGGACCCACATTTCTATTCCTCTATCTATCTATCTATCTATCTATCTATCTATCTATCTTCTCTCTCTCTCTCTTTCTACTTTATTTATACTGTGTGAGTTGGAAGAAATAAAAGAGAGGGGAGGGGGGGTCTGCATCTCAAAAAAACAGTTTTCCCCTTCTTTGGAGCAAACTTTCGCAGCATGGACCTAAAATCATATTCCTCCATCTATCTATCTATCTATCTATCTATCTATCTATCTATCTATCTATCTATCTATCTTCTCTCTCTCTCTTTCTACTTTATTTATACTGTGTGAGTTGAGAGAAGTAAACAAAAGAGAGAGGAGGGGGTCTGCACCCTCTATCTATCTCCTCTCTCTCTCTCAAAAGACAGTTCTCCCCCTCTTTGGAGCAAACATTAGCAGCATGGACCCAAAATCATATTCCTCCATCTGTCTATCTTCTCTTTCTCTCTTTCTACTTTATTTATACTATATGAGTTGGGAGAAATAAATAAGAGGGGGGGGGGGGTCTGCCTATTTATCCCCTTGCAGGCGAACCAACACAAACAAACCTTCCTTTCCCCCCTTTAAGCACCTCTTGGCCAAAGTTTTCCCCTTCTTTGGAGCAAATATTAGCAGCATGGACCCACATTCATATTCCTCCATCTATCTACCTATCTACTCTCTCTCTCTTTCTAATTTATTTATAATATGTGAGTTGAGAGAAATAAACAAAATAGAGAGGGGGGGGGGTCTGCATCCCAAAAAACAGTTTTCCCCTTTTTTGGAGCAAACTTTAGCAGCATGGACCCAAAATCATATTCCTCCATCTATCTATCTATCCATCTATCTCTCTCTCTCTCTCTCTCTCTCTCTCTCTCTCTCTCTCTTTCTACTTTATTTATAGTATGTGAGTTGGGAGAAATAAACAAAAGAGAGAGGGGGGGGTCTGCATCTCAAAAAACAATTTCCCCCTCTTTGGAGCAAACATTAGCAGCATGGACCCAAATTCACATTCCTCCATCTAACTTCTCTCTCTCTCTCTCTCTCTCTCTTTCTACTTTATTTATACTGTGTGAGTCAAGAGAAATAAGCAAAAGAGAGAGGAGGGGGTCTGCACCCTCTATCTCCGCTCTCTCTTTCTACTTTATTTATACTATGTAAGTCAGGAGAAATAAAAGAGAGAAGGGAGTGGGGTCTGCAGCCCACCTTTAAGCAAGTGTTTGCTGAAGTTTTTCCCCTTCTTAGCAGCATGGACCCAAATTCATATTCATCCATCTATCTATCTTCTCTCTCTTTCTACTGTATTTATACTATGTGTGTCAAGAGAAATCAACAAGAGAGAGAGAAGAGAGGGGTCTAAAGAGAGAGAGGGAGAGTGGGGGGGGGGCGTCTACATCTCAAAAATTCCCCCCCCCCCAAATATTTATCCTCTGGCAGGCAAACCAACCAAAACAACCCCAACTCCATTTAAGCAAGTCTTTGCCAAAGTTTTGCCTCCTCTTTGGAGCAAACATTAGCAGCATGGACCTAAATTCATATTCCTCTATCTATCTATCTATCTATCTATCTATCTATCTATCTATCTAAAGGTCTCTTCTCTCTCTCTTTCTACTTTATTTATACTAATGAGTGGAGAGAAATAAACAAAAGGGAGAGAGGATCTGCATCTCAACCCCCCCCCCCCCTATTTATCCCCTCGCAGGCAAACAAACAATCCCACCTTCCCTTTAAGCAAGTCTTTGCCAAAGTTTCCCCCCTCTTTGGAGCAAACACTAGCAGCATGGACCCAAACTCATATTCCTCTATGTATCTATCCAGCTATCTCCTCTCTCTCTCCCCCTACTTGATTTATACTATGTGAGTCAAGAAAAATATCTGTCTCCTCTCTCTCTCTTTCTACTTTATACTATGTAAGCCAGAGAAAGAGAGAGGGGAGTGGGGTCTGCATCTCAACCCCCCCCCCCCATTTATCCCCTCGCAGGCAAACAAACACAAACCACCCCACTTTTGCCAAACTTTTCCCCTTCTTGAGCACACTTTAGCAGCATGGACCCAAATTCATATTCCTCTCTCTCCTCTCTCTCTCTTTCTACTTTATTTATCCTATGTGAGTCTAGAGAAATAAAAGAGAGGAGGGGGGTCTAAACTCAGAGAGGGGGGTCTGCATCTCAACCCCCCCCCCCCATATTTATCCCTTCACAAGCGAACAAACATAAACAAAACCCTCCCTTCCCTTTAAGCAAGTGCTTCCCAAAGTTTTTCCCCTCTTTGGAGCAAACATTAGCAGCAAGGTCCCAAAATCATATTCCTCTATCTATCTCCTCTCTCTCTACTTTATTTATATTATATATCCCACCTTTGTGCTCCTAGGCTCCATCTACATTGCTCTCTAATGCTTGTCGAATCTATCTATCTTCCATATCAGTGGTTCTCAAGCTGTGGGTTTCCCGGTTGTTTTGGGAGCATGAACATTAGCAGCATGAACCCAAATTCATATTTCTCTATCTATCTGCCTAATTGTATCTATTTCCCCCCCCCTCTCTCCTTGCCCTCTTTCACACAGTTGATTAAATTCCCACATTATCTGCTTTGAACTGGAATATATGGCAGTGCGGACTCAAATAACCCAGTTCAAAGCAGATATTGCACAATTTTCTGCCTTGATATTCTGGGTTTTATGGCAGTGTAGAAGGTCTCTTTCTCTCTCTATACATACATACATACATACATACATACATATATGTGGTTCTCAATCTGTGGGTCCCCAGATATTTTGGCCTTCAGCTCCCAGAAACATCTGGTAAACTGGCTGAGTTTTCTAGGAGTTGGAGGCCAAAACATCTGGAGACTCACAGGTTGAGAACCACTACTTTTATATATGCCCTGTATATCCCCCACTTTCTCTATACATATATATCCTCTTTATTTATACTGTAGTTATATTATATATCCCGCCTTTCTTGCTCCTAGGCTCCATCTACATTGCTCTATAATGCTTGTCGTACTGTATCAAACAGCACTATGTAACACAAACCTGGGCCAACTTGAGTTTCAACTCACTCCATTAGTAACAGTCTTAAGTGGCTGAGGGGGACAAAGAAGGGGCCTGAGGCTGTTAGGAATGATGGGAGTTGGAGTCCCAAACACCCGGAGGGCCCAAGCTGGCCCATGCTTGATAAAACACAGGGATTCAATCATAAAGACTTTATCAAACTTCAGTTGGACGTCCTGCTATAGCACATTTGCCATCATTTTTGCAGTGTAGCTAGATAGAAAAATGAGTGATTGATAACCCTAAGGAATTTTTCAAAGCATGACATAGATAGATAGATAGATAGATTAAATAGTAAAATAAATGAGCAATAACCCTATGCAGCACCATTTTTGTTCCTGGGTTATCAATGTCATTTCCAAGAGCCCCCCCCCCCAGTGCAATGGGTTAAACCCTTGTGCCGGCAGGTTCGAATCCAGGGAACGGGGTGAGCTCCCATCTGTCAGCCCCAGCTCCCATTTGGGGATGTGAGAGAAGCCTCCCACAGGATGGCAAAACACCCAGGCATCCTGTATTGATATATTGTTGTTGTATTCGGGCACTGAATGTTTGTCTTTTATGTTTGGAATCCGCCCTGAGTCCCTTTGGGGAAATAGAGCGGAATATAAAAAAAGTATTATTATTATTATTATTATTATTATCCTCTGGGCAACGTCCTTGCAGACAGCCCATTCTCTCATCCCAGAAGTGACTTGCAGTTTCTCAAGTTGCTCCTGACCGAGAGGTTGACGGTTCAAATCCAGGGAGTGGGGTGAGCTCCTGTTTGTCAGCTCCAGCTTCCCATGAGAGCAGCACAGGACGGTAATACACCCTGGGCAACGTCTTTGCAGACGGCCAATTCTCCCACAGCAGAAGCGACTTACAGTTTCTCAAGTCACTCCTGACACTGAAAAAAAAGCCATTTCCTAATTGTTTCTGTCATTAATAAACATGGGAAAACCCTTATTAAACTGCAGCACTTTTTGCGATAGTTTTTTCAGTTCATCTCTCAACCGATACTCAATCTAGTTTATGGCAGAAAGTTTCCGGAGTCCAACAACTGCTTTCAAATAAATGAAAGTGGAAATCACATTTTTTCAAATCAGGAACTGATTTTTTCTTGATGTTGTTCAGATTTTGTTACATAGTGTAATGCTGTTTGAACTGCATAAAATAGTCACTGTAGATGGGACCTTAGGCTGGATCTACACTGCCATAGACGAACTGCATTGCACTGTATGATGTGGCCGGGTAGATTCACATAGTCCAGCTCAATGCGCTCGGAGACTGAGTTCGACGGCAGTGTAGATCAAGCCGGCTCATGAGCATGCCACCTGAGAACCATTTGAAACAAGGCCAACGTCAAAATTAAATATATTACGTCAACATACAATAAAAAGGGGCAAAATTACATTTCCAGCAAGCCAAGAATTTCAATTCACAGCCCAACCCCCACCTCCAAAAATCTTGGTTTTCAGGCCTCTTTTGGCAGTTACTGATTCAGAAAATGTCACTGGATAGACCACGTCAGCTCTAGTTTCTAAGGCTTCCTTATAATGCGGTTTCGGAATGCAAATTACATGTGTTGAACTGGATTATCTAAGTCTACGCTGCCATATAATCCAGTTTACTGCATTATTATTATCATTATTATTATTATTGACCCATTTTCAGATCTGTACTCCCTGCTCCATTCTGAAACTGCATTATTTCCCAGTGTAGATCCAACCTTAGATATGACCATCATGATTTTCAATGGGCCAGCCGATGCCGACTGGTAGACGGCATATGTTCTGTATCTCAAAAACTAGAGCTGATATGGGGAAACTGGTGTCTTTTCTTTGAATCAGCAGGTCAGGTATACCCATTTGAGGCACCAAATGAGTGTCCGCCAATACTTGTGATTTATTGTGGGTGCTTCTACACTGTAGAGTTAATGCAGTTTGATGCCACTTGAACTGCCGAGGTTCCATGCTACGGAATTCCTGGGGATTGCAGTTTGGCAAGGTCTTTGGCTTCATGCTGGCAGTGACAAATTAGGTTTATATTTTATTGGAGCTAAAGGAGTTATTAATAATAACTTAATAAATTATTTTTTAAAAAATATGTAAGTGAGAAAAAAGTACAATTCAAATTATGATGAAATAAATGCATTTTTAAAGTAATTACTATGTACCGATAGGATAAATAGATACTAAATGTCAATGCAATAATCCAGTCCGCCCGCTGTCAGGGAGTTGCATTTTGACACGATTTTATTTTATTTTTTTTCGTGTCAGGAGCGACTTGAGAAACTGCAAGTTGCTTCTGGTGTGAAGGACATTGCCCAGGGGACACCCGGATTTTTGGATGTTTTCCCATCCTTGTGGGATGCTTCTCTCCTATCCCTGCATGGGAAGCTGGAGCTGACAGAGGGAGCTCATCCGCGCTCGCCATGGATTCGAACCTCCATTCTGTCGGTTTTCAGTCCTGCCGGCACAAGAGTTTAACCCATTGCGCCACCAGAGGCTCCAGTTTAGCATAATCTTCAATCCTCTTTGCTCTGTGTCTTACCAAACTACAACTCCCAAAACTCCAAAGCATGGAGCTTTGACAGTTCAGGCGGAACCAAACTGCATTCATTCCACAGTGTAGAATCCCCCCACTTACTTGTTTTTCTCTTTGCTCCATATGTGTGTTTGTAATGTTTTGTTTTGAAAGTCCCAACTTCTTACCAGCTCCACTTTTCATGCCTGGCGTGCTTTTCAAACTTGCCATTGACATGATTGAGATTCATTATTATTAGTATTCAGTTTGGGAAGTGTTTTCTCTCTTTTCCTCTTCTTTTCCTTTTCTGAATTTGCTGTGCCCTAACACACACACACACACACACCAAAAAGTTACTTCTTGGGGGTCGCCCTCAGCTTTTCCTTCTCTGGGGATAATGGGGGGAAAATAGAAGAATAACAAAGCAAAACATACCCTATAGACCGATTTCTGACTTTGGGATTGCTGAGTTCCAGCTAAACCTAGAGAATATATCTATCTAGATCAACCTACCTGAATGACGCCTGCCTGCATCGACTTCCCTATGTTGTTCATGCTGTGAGTTATGGCCTCCGAAGTTGCCAAACGGAGTAACTTTGAGGCCACCATTAGACTCCCATTCTCATCTCATACATTATTATGCTTGCCACTTTGTCTTAGCATCAATTAACTCTTGTCATCGTTCCCAAAAAAAAAACTATGGGGAGAAAGAAAGAAAGAAAAGAAAAAGAACAAAAAAGACATTATATTGATAATAGCCCTGCATGCTGGACATGTACGGTATATTTTATTTTCCTTTTTTGCTTGGATATGGACTTTGGAAACTATAATGGCATGACATTCATCTTTTTTTTTTTTAATTTGTGTTGCCCGGACACTTTTTTGAATGGAAAAAAAAGCAAAAAAGTGCAGCCTTGTCGGGTCCGTTCCTCCCCTCCCCATTCAAGTTTTGCATCTGCTCTGGAAACTGCTTTGAGTTGCTCAGAACTTCAGACTTCTCTGTAAACACCTCAAACACGCGTACACACATGTACAAGAGGCCAGACATGGATTGTGATTACCTTAATGTGGAAAACTGAACGAGAACTGCAAGATAGTTTCACAAAATTACTTCCAATTGATGGGATTTGAAGATGATGATGTTGCTTAAAGCAGTCAAAAAAATATATGTTTATTTTGGAATGATTGCCCTCCCATGTCCTTATTTTCTTTCCCTATTTTTTTGCGTTTTTGTGTCATTGTCAAAATGTGCAATGCAATGGGCTCCTGGTATTATATATAATTTAATTCTCGCTTTTGTTATTGTCTGTTAGCCCAGTTCACGATGTATGCTACAGATAAAGGAATGTTATAAATGACTTCAAAAGAGTTTAGAGGTTAGGGTTTTGTTTTCGTTTCTAAACATGATGCACTAAATCGTTCACTGTTGTTGATGTTGAAAGAGGGTAGAAATTTGCAACGGGACTCTCGTTTTGTTAACAACACGGAATTAGATAACCCAGCATGTGTTTTGTGACTTAAGTTCAATATGTGTCGATTTTGCTATGCCATTGACTGTATTTGGAAACCAAAGTATTAAAAAGGGGGGAGCCTCCCATTTATATCGATAGGAGTGTGTTCAAAATGTATGGTGGGGCCTTGGGAATATTTTCGTTTTTGTTTTTGTTGGGGGGAGACGAGCATTGAAATCTTTGGGACTGAATTGCACTAAATATATAATCGGAAACATAAAATATAAACCCTTGCAAAACCTGTTAGTTAGTACATCACACACGAGGGGGGAAAATCCACTTAGAATCCAGTTTCTGTCTCTTGCGGAATTGTGGAGTTTGTAGTTTTGGAAGTAGTTTGTAGTAGCTACTGCAAACTCCAAAATTCTGTAGGAAAGAAATCTGAATTTAAGTGGATTTTTTCCCCTCTAGTGTGATGAATGATGCTAATCCCATTTATGCAGTTACGAAAATGGCATTACTGCTCCGTTTTTTTAAATGATGCAGATTTTTTTTACTGTTGTTATTGTGGTGCAGAACTGGATTTTCTGTAACGTCACAAATCCACGCAAATAGGCATTAATCAGCGGTTTTTATGTTCAGGGACTGATAATAATCCTGTCTTTTTACAAAAAGAAAAAATTCTTACCACAATAAATATAAAAAAATCTTGTCAGTTACTTTTTTTTGTCCCCCTTTACATATTTTGCTGTGCAAAATTGAGTGACGAACTAACCCTGTGTGATGTTCCTCATGTGCTTTTCTTTAATTCCCCCCACCCCTCTCCCCATAACTCTCTGGTTATATCAAAAGGAAATAATATTCTATTATAATAAACTGCATTTCTGATTCTGTCCTGTGTTTGGTTAGTTTGTAGCTCTGGAAAAAGAAAGTCAAGAAACATGCTTTACAGTAGTATTCGGAGTATGCCTTAATGATGGCTAATATGGATAGATACAGTATATCACAAATATATGGGAAGCTATATGGAGCAGATATACGGGGAGCTACCTAGGATAAAGGGCCCTTCCGCACAGCCTTATATCCCAGAATATCAAGGCAGAAAATCCCACTTTATCTGAGTGTGGAGTCAGATAATCTGGTTCAGAACTGATATTGTGGGATTTTCTGCCTCGATATTTGGGGATATATGGCTATGTGGAAGGACGCAAAGTCAAGGTGGAATTACTACATGACACTAACTCAGTGTTTCTCAGCCTTCCTAATGCCGCAACCCCTTAATATGTTGTGGTGACCCCCAACCATAAAATTATTTTCATTTCTACTTCATAACTGTCATTTTACTTCTTTTACAAATTGTCATGTCAATATATGATATACAGGATGTATTTTCATTCACATTCGGCACAAATATCCAATACACCCAAATTTGAATACTGGTGGGGTTGGGGGGGGGGGGTTGATTTGCTGAGTTGTAGTTGCATTTGGGAGTTGTAGTTGCTGAACTCTTCATTTAATAAATAGCTGTTTGGAGGCATATATATATATATATATATATATATATATATAGTGTTCATTTGTGGGATTAACTCAAAAACCCCTGAAAGAATTGACACCAAATGACCAATGACCATCACTAAAAAAATGATTTTGTCATTTGGGAGTTGTAGTTGCTGAACTCTTCATTTAAAAAATAGCTGTTTGGAGGCATATATATATATATATATATATATATATATATATAGTGTTCATTTGTGGGATTAACATAACTCAAAAACCACGGAAGAATTGACACCAAATGACCATCCCTAAAAAATAAAAATTGATTTCGTCATTTGGGAGTTGTAGTTGCTGGGATTTATAGTTTGACCTACAATCAAAGAGCATTCTGAACTCCACCAGCAATGAAATTGAACCAAGCTTGGCACACAGAACTCTAACAACCAAGAGAAAATACTGGGTTTGGTGGGCATTGACCTTGACTTTTGGAGTTGTAGTTCACATACATGCAGAGAGCACAGTGGACTCCATCTGGACCAAACTTGGCATGAATCCTCAATATGTGCAAATGCAAGCACTAGTAGAGTTTGGGGAAAATAGACCTTGGCATTTGGGAGTTGTAGTTGCTGGGATTTACCTTGACTTTTGGAGTTGTAGTTCAAATACATGCAAAAAGCACTGTGGACTCAAACAGTGATCCATCTGGACCAAACTTGGTACGAATCCTCATTATGTGCAAATGCAAGCACTAGTAGAGTTTGGGGAAAATAGACCTTGGCATTTGGGAGTTGTAGTTGCTGGGATTTACCTTGACTTTTGGAGTTGTAGTTCAAATACATGCATAAAGCACTGTGGACTCAAACAATGATCCATCTGGACCAAAATTGGCACGAATCCTCAATATGTGCAAATGTGAACACTGGTGGAGTTTTGGGAAAAAATAGATCTTGACATTTGGAAGTGGTAGTTGCTGGGATTTATAGTTCATCTCCAATCAAAGAGCATTCTGAAAGCCACCAACGATAGAATTGGGCCAGACTTCCCATACAGAATCCCCATGACAAACAGAAAATACTGTGTTTTCTGATGGATTTTGGAGACCCCTATGACACCCCCTTATGACCCCAGATTGAAAAACACTGCACTTGCTTTTTCGTAGCTGAAAAGACTGGGGAGGGTTTTTTTCTCCAGGTGATTGTGTCATTTTTTTCTAACTCTAATTATATTGGCATCGTCCTCTGCCCCATTTTTTTTTTTTACTCGTTTGCCTTGGATGATGATTTTTCTATAAGACGTATACAAAGCAGCCTCCCTTTCCCCACCATGTTTGGTGTAGGGCATAAAACCCTCTTTTCCCTACAGCTGGGGAATCAGATCTGAACAAACTAATGTTTAGTAAGCAAGAGAAGATACAGATTTTAAAAATGTCTTTCTCTTGTACTATATACACATTTCTTACATTCAGAGCAGTTAAGAAGAAACAAGAATCCAACCCAAAGGGGCTGAAAACTAATTCTTCGAGCTGGCGAAGAGGTAATTTTTTCTTGGACTATGTCCTTGTGGTTGGGGTTTCTTTCTTTTTTATTCAAAAGCAGTTTGCAGAGACAGCTTCATTTAAAAAAAATGGTATTCAAAATCTCACCAGGTTAAATTTTCGCCTGTGAATTCTTTTTTTACTTATCTAATATTTGTTTCATGCCTTTGTGGTGTATTTTTCTACCCCAAGTTTTCCTGTAAACTGAAATAGGAGAGCAGGGAAACTAAATTCCACTAATAATAATAATAATAATAATAATAATAATAATAATAATAATAATAATAATAATACCATGGCACCCATTGGTAATCGGCACACGGGGTGCCGTGCCAAAAGATCTCAGTCAGCATTTTGAAAACAATAAACATTGACAAAATCGCGATCTGTCAACTTGGATCTGCGTGCATCATTTGAAAATACATCACACAGTCCTAAACGCTTGGGAAGGGTTTGCCTTGTGATTTTGTGATACGAAATCCAGCATATATATCTTGTTTGCTATGTCGTACTGTGTTTTTGTGTCAGTATAAAAATAATAGAAAAGCTGACAAGATATGAGGATTTAAATATTGAACTGCAAAGACTCTGGCACAAGCCAGTCAAGGTGGTCCCAGTGGTGATCGGCACACTGGGTGCAGAGCCTAAAGACCTTGGCCTGCACTTAAAAACAATTGACGCTGACAAAATTACCATCTGCCAGCTGCAGAAAACCACCTTACTAGGATCTGCACGCATTATTCGCCGATACATCACACAGTCCTAAACACTTGGGAAGTGTCTGACATCTCGCACTTCATCCGAGAATGCTCCAGGCGAGCAGTGTGCCGATCACCACTGGGACCACCTTGACTGGCTTGTGCCAGAGTCTTTGCAGTTCAATATTTAAATCCTCATATCTTGTCAGCTTACTCTCGCACTTAAGACCTGGCTTTTTACTAGAGCATTCGAGCTCTGTTGATTTTTAATTTTTGTATGTATGTATTTTATCTTTTATAATTTAGCTGTAAATCGCCTAGAGCATTCTCGGATGGAGGGCGATTAATAAGTTATTAAATGATGATGATGATGATGATCAAACACAACAGCCAACATAGTGATCTTGTTTGTTGTGTACTAATTTTGTGTTACCAATAATAATAATAATAATAATAATAATAATAATAATAATAATACAGTGCCTGAAGACCTTGGCCTGCACTTAAACACAATCGGCGCTGACAAAATTACCATCTGTCAGCTGCAAAAGGCTACCCTATTCGGATCTGCACGCATTATTCGCTGATATATCACACAGTACTAGACAGTTGGGAAGTGTCCGGCATGTGATACAATACAACAGCCAGGATAGTGATCTTGTTGTGTTTCAAATAGTAGTAGCAGTATTAGTAATAATAGTAATAATAATAATAATCTACAAAGACTGTAGCACAAGCCAGTCAAGGTGGTCCCAGTGGTGATTGGCACACTGGGTGCAGTGCCTAAAGACCTTGGCCTGCACTTAAATACAATCGGCACTGACAAGATTACCATCTGCCAGCTGCAAAAGGCCACCTTACTGGGACCTGCATGCATTATTCGCCGATGCATCACATAGTCCTAGACACTTAGGAAGTGTCCGGCGTGTGATCCTATTCAACAGCCAGCAGAGTGATCTTGTTCGCTGTGGACTCATCTTGTTCTGTTTCAAATAATAATAATAATAATAATAATAATAATAATACATCACACAGTCCTAGACACTTGGGAAGTGTCCGACGTGTGATCCAATGCAACAACCAGCAGAGTGCTCTTGTCTGCTGTGGACTCATCTTGTTGTGTTTCTAATAATAATAATAATAATAATAATAATAATAATAATAATAATAATAATAATAATAATACATCGCACAGTCCTAGACACTTGGGAAGTGTCCGACGTGTGATCCTATTCAACAACCAGCAGAGTGCTTTTGTCTGCTGTGGACTCATCTTGTTGTGTTTCTAATAATAATAATAATAATGATAATAATAATAATAATAATAATACAACATCACACAGTCCTGGACATTTGGGAAGTGTCCGACATGTGATCCAATGCAACAGCCAGCAGAGTGATCTTGTCTGCTGTGGACTCATCTTGTTGTGTTTCAAATAATAATCATAATTATAATCATAATCATAATCATAATAATACATCACACAGTCCTAGACACTTGGGAAGTGTCCGATGTGTGATCCAATACAACAACCAGCAGAGTGGTCTTGTCTGCTGTGGACTCATCTGGTTCTGTTAATAATAATAATAATAATAATAATAATAATAATAATAATAATAATATTAATATTATACATCACACAGTCCTAGACACTTGGGAAGTGTCCGACGTGTGATCAAATGCAACAGCCAGCAGAGTGATCTTGTCTGCTGTGGACTCATCTTGTTCTGTTTCTAATAATAATAATCATAATAATCATAATAATTTTGTATTGTGCCACCATCTCCCCGATGGGACTTAGGCGGCTTACATGGGGACAAGCCCGGTCAACATAGTTAAAATATAACACTGTAAAATTCACAAAACAACATAATAAAACAGTATCAAACTACCATAGAACAAACAACCAATAGTCTAACATAAATTATCACACTAGAGAAAAAATCCTCTTAAAATGGTTTCTGCCTCCTGCAGAATTCTGGTGTTTGTAGTTTAGGAAGGAACCTTTAACAGCCTCACTAAATGACAAATCCCGGAATTCTGCAGGAGGAAGAAACCAGATTGTAAATGAATTTTTTTCTCTGGTGTGATGCAGCCGATAGTAAACAATTACTGAGCTCGGGCGGGCGGGCTGGTGCAAATCAGTTGCAAGGATAGGAC